TGCGTTTTCCTTCTTGTCAATCCTGTGTTCCATGCTCGTACAAGACATGTTGAGGTTGATTTTCACTTTGTTCGAGATCATGTTCGGCGTAAGTTTGTTTCGGTCAATTCTATCTCTGATGCTGATCAGCTTGCTGATATTCTGACAAAACCCTTGTCCAAAGAGTTATTCTTTCGATTTCGGGACAAATTTCGGCGTCTCTCTTCTCCGCCTTAAGTTTGCGGGGGCGTATTGTAATATTTAGTATATTTCCTATTATGTCCTAGTTTAGGGTTTGTTATTGTCGATATATAGTCTGTATATTGTGCACAATATATCATGAATCAAATACAATTTCCCTATTCTAAGTATCAGAAACCCTACTCAGCAGAAGCAGGTTATATATATTTGACTGGCAAGCAAGGCAAATAGAAAGAAGCACAGATAGTTTGGAGTGTATATTCAATTCCTAAGCACGGTTTTACTTGTTAGCAGACATGCTACTTATCCAAGACAGGCTCATGAAAATGAATTTGCTGAAAGTGCTGATAATTTGTGAATTATGCGCAGCTCAAGTAGAAAGTTTAGACCACTTTCTTTCAATGCAACTATGCTCAGCAACTAATTGATAGGATTAAAGGTTGGTTAGGTTTGCTTTGTAATCTGGAGCGCTGAAGGACTAGAATCAAAAGTCTTTTGAGAATGTGAACATATAACAAAACCAAGCAGAGGATCTTGTTTGCTGTGATTAACGCTGCTGTTTATCATATCTGGAACAAAAGGATTGTAGGAAGTTCAGGAAGCAGGTGAAGGATTCTGATGAGAGATTTAAAGAAATCAAAGTTGAAATTATATGTAGATTACGGTTTTGCTACAAATCTAAAAGTAGAAATGATGTTAATTATCTTCAAAAGTTTGGAATAGTCATGTAAATATATGCAATAGATGGCTGGTAGGCAAGTATATTGGAGCTTAAGCAATGCAATTTTACTTTTTATCAAAGAGTGAACCTCAAAACGGGTCATTGAACTATTAGGTAATTCTAATACAGGTTATCAATCAAATTTATTTGTATAACAAGTCACCTTACTAAGCAAATAATTCATCCGAGATCATTCTGTTAATTTTGGCCGTTACATAGTAACAGAAATACATTTTTCACATGCTTTTGGGTTCAGGGGTATTTTTGTCATTTTGTTATTTTTAAAGTTTTATTTTTTTTTTGAAAAAAATTATTTTTTTATTTTTTTTAATAATTCTTCTTCTTATACTTCCTAACTTGTATATACTGATAGTATAATTCTAAATTTCAAAAAGTCATTTTACTTTTGTATTTTTTAATAGCTTATAAAATTTTACTAAATTTCTAATAGCTTATAAAATTTTTTTAAAAAATTAAGAAATGAAGAAGAAAAATTCGAGTTAAAGTAAACATAAAAATTAATAGTTTACCATTTTAAACTAAAAGAATTAGTTAAGACAAGTTGTTTCTTCTAAGTTATTTAATTATTTTCAACTCGATTTAATCATTTAATTATTAATTTTCATGTTTACTTCAATTTGAATTTCTCTTCCTTATTTTTTTATAAACAAGAAGTTAAAATAAAAATGACAAATTAATTTTTTTAAAAGTTAATAATGATACTAGTACTAACATATACAAGTTAGGAAGCAAAAGAAGAAAAATCGTAAAAAAAATTAATTAAAACATTAATATTTAAAAATATATATATATATAAAAATTGATGAAATTGCCTCTTGACCCAAAAACAAATGAAAAATAGTTTTCTGTCACGATTTAACTCCCAAAATAACCTAGAGGAAACAACTTCTCTTAGCTGAAAACTCTTTTGAACATTAAATCGTAACGGAAAACTATTTTTCACATACTTTTGGGTCCAGGGATAGTTTTATAATTCTTTTTTTTTAAATATATTAATATTTTAATTTTTTAAAACAATTTTTCTTCTTTTTTACTTCCTAACTTGTATATGTCGGTATTATAATAATTATTAAATTTCAAAAATTAATTTTTCATTTGTATTTTAAATTCTAGTTTATAAAAACATAAAGAAGAGAAATTCAAATTGAAGTAAACGTGAAAATTAATAATTAAATGATTAAATCGAGTTGAAAATAATTAAATAACCTAGAAAAAACAACTTGTCTTAGCTGAATATTTAGTTTCTTTTTTTGGTTTAAAACGATAAACTATTAATTTCATTTTTATTTCAACTCGAATTCTTCTTTTTCATTTTTCTAATTTTTTTTAAAAAAATTTATAATCTAGAAGTTAAAATACAAAATTTAAATTAATTTTTGAAATTTAGAAATTATACTACCAGCATATACAAGTTAGAAAGTATAAAAATAAGAATTGTAAAAAAATAAAAATAAAAAATAATTTTTTTAAAAAATAAAAATTTAAAAATAACAAAATGACAAAAATACCCCTGAACCCAATAACATGTGAAAAATGGATTTCCGTCACTATTTAATGGCTAAAATGAACAGAATTATCTCGGATGAATTTTTTGCTTAGTAAAGTGACCTCTTATGCAAATAAATTTGATTGATGACCTGTATTAGAATTACCTAATAGTTTAATGACCCGTTTTGAGATTAATTCTTTATTAAAACAAACACATAAAATAGAGGGATTGTTCTTTTCATAGAAGTAAACTGAAATTTTAAGATCAATGAATGAGAGGAAAACAAATATTAACAAAACTTTGGTTCAAGGAATGATTTTCAGCTATATTATAGATCATCAAAAAATCAATATTGTTTTTCTACAGCCAAATCATTTAATCATAAGCTTAATAGTATAGCTGTATAAAATTTTTTATTTTCTTGAAAAGACTTATTAAGTTTTCTCTTAATTTAATTAGACACGATAGCATTTCATATTAAATTATACTTGTAATAAAAACTTTCAAAATAGTAATCGAGATAACGTTCAAGTAACAATTAAACCGATAAGAAATCATACTTTAAACACGGGACAAGAAACACTCCAACTTCAAACCAAGTTGCACAACTTGAATATAAACAATTCGAACCCAAAAAATAATTTAGTTTTTATATAATTTATTTTTTTGAGACTAAGGAAGTGAATAAAATAATCATAATGATGACCATGACAATTGACGTAGACCGGAGGAGGTGAAGAGTCTTGAGAGAAAATGTAGAACATAGACCGGAGACTTTTTTCTCTTTTTTTTTTTTCAGAAAGAACTTTGGATATTCCATAGTTTTTGCAGACATAAATATTTTAAATTTTGCGTATCATGATTCGGGTCTCTGCTTAGGTTTGATTTGAATGATTACACAAATCAACAATGGAAGAATCTTTTAGATAGTTCAATACCTTTTTGTCAGGAAATAATCGTCATTTCATTTGGAGTATAAAATACAATATTTTAGAACAAAAGAAATATATGAAATCGTCATTTATAGTATCTTACGTACCAAACAAGATCCATATCATATGAAGAAATTTTGATGGATATTATGGATTTGGCAGTAGTAATTTAATTATCATGTGTCCCATTCGTTTGACTTTTAACTACAATAGTACGCTTAACGACATACTATCTAAACGTAATATATGTAACTCATAATTATGGAAACTTTTATTGAAATAATATTCATAGAATGACGATCCTAAAAGGGGAACACAAACGGTAGGGTTTGAATTTATTTTACTTGTTAATTTTTGTTTTCATTAATCACTTTCTCTCTCTTTTTATTATTAGTATTATTTTTTTCTTTTTTCGTTTGAGTTTTTAAATATTGGCGGCAAACGCATTGACATTTCTTAGTCCTAATTATTAATTTTATTGAGAATCCTAGTTCCACATGATAGTCCCACATTGATGCTGGGAGAGACTGAATATCAATATAAAAGTATATGGTTACTTCCCTCATTGCCAATTGTTTTTGAGGTGGATGGCCATGGACTTCTATAAATTTCTCCAAGAGTTTTCGTTTGATGACATTTCTTAGTTCTAATTGTTAACTTCTCCAAAAGTAAATAATAAGGGCAGAATTTAGACAAGACATGCGACATTAATATTTTGTTTCGGAGAAAAGGATTACTAAAATTGACATGAAGATTATTTTTCCAGCCGATTAAAATAACCACATTCGTAAAATAACTTTAAAAGTGGGGGCAGGTAAGGAAAATAAGTAAATAACTAATCAAAAAATGGAAATTAGTGTAATTTTCCTTGAGGGTTTTTTTTTTTTTTTCTTTTTCTTTTTGCTGGGGGAAGAATGGTAGACTTCTTTCTGGGACCAGGAGGAGATCATCAATCGTATTCTTCCACATGTGTGATGTTGTCAATCTTTTCAGTTCTTCCTATTGTCGATTAGTTTATACTTATACTGCTAGTTGAGGTGCCAATTGTCAAACCCTTAGCAAGAGTCCAAAATTTAATCAACTAATTTAATTTTACAACCGATTATATTTAACCTCTTTAGTGGTATTTCTTACCCTAGATGCGTTATCTTGTAAACTTGCTGCTAAAGCACTTTTTTTTTTTTCTTTTTTATAAACACGAAGATAATATTAAGGCTACAAAATTATACAAGGACATGGCTGGGTACAATAGCATCATGGTATAACTAGTATCGGACTCCTGTGGCGGATGATCCAATCAAGTTAAACCTCCTAAATTCGATGCTGTTAATGTAATTAAGTAGTCCGCAATAAAATTATATTTCATGTAAACGTGATTAACACTAATAACTCAATTTCTAGGTAAAAGCTCCCTAATTACCCGTCCCTCATGCGCGCACGCAGGCCTCCCGAATTCAAAAACCATCTGAAGGATTCCCTGGTTGACCACCTCTACTAAAGCACCCCTTTGTAACAACAACAACAACAATAATAATTTGACAGTCTAACTAACACAAACTCCAAGTAACAACACCCTCTACAACCACCCCCAAAAAATAAATAAATAAATAAAAAAAATAAAGAAAGAAAAGCGACACACAATTTGAACCTTTCAACTCAATGGCATGTGCGATATGAAATGGTAAAATTGTTATCAAAATGTACAATTCACAAAAGATTCTCCTACAGTCAACAAAAGATGGCTCACTTATTTACCCTCCAAATGAATGCAGTACGTATTTAAATTAGGATGTGTTTATATATTCCACTCTTCCTTCTTCTAAATTTCTTGCTAAAAATCGAATCATCTTTATAGCCCACTCAACGTAGGTTCCAAATGCTTTAGGTCTTTGCTTTTCTCGTACTTACTTTTTAGCATCACTTGCCTAGTACCACTAAACAAAATGACACTAAATTCCTAATACATCAGTGCAATTTCAATAGACCAAAATCAATAATACGTGGGATAAACTGAAATCTAACTCTACTAATCTAAAAGGAACAAAAAATCCTACAATATGGTCATGATTCACCATCTTTACCAAAAAGTTTAAGTCCCCAGGTCCATTGCATATCCTCACAATGCCGGACATAGGGAAGAACTTTGCCGGTGTCGAGCCAGTTTCTCGTCTTACAATCATGGTCCGGCGTGGCCTGGAAACAGGGTTCCATTGATTTTGCACGCTGGCAAGCCGGATTCGGGGATTTGTACTCTTCAGGCCTGTAAAGGATCCACGGCTTCATGCCTCCAAGTCCTTGTGCAACGTACCCGAATGTCGATTTCGAGCTCGTCACCAGCTTATCCGTCAAGCTCAAAAGATACATTTCTGCCCATGCTTTCATATTGTGAACCTCCTTTTCAGTATGTTGTTCCACTTCATGACTAGGCTGGAAAACCTGAACCATTTCCCCTGTTTCAGTTGGATGTTCATCGTACATGTTTTTCAGCGTCTTGTAGTATTTCGAACTCAGGGATGTAACAAGTACCGCCTTTGTTCTGTTTGATGAATGTCCGGAAAGAGATTCTAGTGCCAAATTGACTTGTGGCAATACATTCTCTGTGAACACACAGTCTAAAATCTGCTCCATGTAAGGGGCAAAAGGATCGGGTTCTGTTTCGAACACTCTTACTTGGATGCCTATTCTTTCATCTGCTCTGGCTAAATAGGCATTGTAATATCTCGTGATTGCCTTCCAAATCATGTTTGTGGGATGGAAGAGATACCGGCCAAGGAAATAGAAAACGGTATCTTTTTCAGGGAAAAGAAGGTCTAAATGTTGCTGGAAAATTGGCATCATGAAAAAAGATGGAACAAAGTAGATATTCGATTTCAGGATGTGCCAAGGTACTTCCTGGAGAAAGGTGTGATCATCGTCGCAGAAGAATCGCTTATCATCATCATCATAGTCATGGACTACATGGAGATAAACAAATGGTTTGATCAAAGAAGAAGCGTTTTTCGGACCGGGTACGAGGTTGTTCTTCAGCATATTCCCATAACTCATGCTGTATTGCTTGTTAAGCTTATCAAACTCATCGATGATGGGAAAATCGGAGGGGACTAACCAGGAGTTTTCGGGGAACGGTTCGCAGAATAGGTCAGAAACATGAACTCTTCTGTCAACAAGAAGGACCCTTTTTGTTAACAGGGCATATAGGAAAGTGGAAGCCAGAGTAATGATTCTGTTCCCCAATCCATCTCGAGGAGTCCAGACCACATACTTGCATTCTGTATTTGTAGAACTGTTGAATTCCATTGAATCGAGATATCTGACGGTTTTGTTGTAGGATTCCGTGTATGGTCCGCATCGTTTATGAAGGGCTTCATAGCTTCTCAATGCGGAAATGAGATGTGAAGAAGGCTGATGTTTTAGTCCTTTATGATACCATGCTGATTGATAACGACTTCGACAAGATTTCTCATCTAATCCTCCCTTTAAAATTCCACCAAGAAGCTTATCAACTTCTGTATCATTCTTAACCCATGAAGGATGATCATCATCTTCCTCATCTGGATCACAGAAAATCAACCATGGAAAAAAAAAAATTCAGTGAAAGACCCAGTACAATTCAAGTGCTATAGATACAGAATAACCAATTGGATTAAATGGTATGATATGATATGATTGGGAAAAAAAAAGAAAGGATTTTTGTTACCTTTGTAAGAAGGTTTGAAATCGAAATCGCTCCAAGTGGCCGCCTCTGAAGATTGGTGTTTCAGAACAAAAAACAGAGCAGAGGCAGTTAAACAGAGGAGGAAGATGATCAAAACTTTCTTTGGATTCCAAACAAATTGCCCGGCTGGACATCTTGGCATCGTAATTTGGTTTTTGGTAGCAGAATGTTTCAAGCTTTTGTCTGCAGGAAGCTCTCTCTACTTTGGGGGGGCTTAAAGAAGAATCAAGTACAAGAAAGCAGCTTTTGGAAAACTTCAACAAATGGGAATTTTTTTTTTTTTAATTTGTTGTTCCTGAAAACTGTACAAGAAAGAAAAGGGCAAAGCGGTATTCCAACGCATTTCGTTATTAGATGAAGAAAATTCCAAGTCGTTAAAAAGGATCTCCAAAGAAACATGCAATAAGTTAAAAAACCCAGAAGATTCCTGGGAAGATTCGAAACTTGTATTTTCATATTTATTTTTTTCGTCTAGAAAAACAACTTCTTTAATGTTATAAGCCGTAATTTCTTATGTATATGTAGTTCAAGGGAAGGGGATTTCAGAGTCATAAAAAGGCCAAAGTAAGAACTGTGGCGAATCTTCAATTATCGTCACATGGGCTGCCAAAGAGAGTAAGTAAAAACCATGTTTGAAGTAAATTGTTCAAAAAGCCAAAAAAAAAAAAAAAGCTTTCCACTTTGGTACATAAGGATTCATGAATTAAAGATTAAAATGAGTTCAGGAATTAAACACTACTCCTTCCATTTTGAAATATATGTCGTTTTAGGGTTTTGTGAATTTTTTTAAATATATATCGTTTTCACAAATCGAGACACATTTGACAATTTTTTACCAATATTACTTCTGCATTGAGAATGAAACAATATTTATAATGAATTTTTATTGATTTGTGATGAATTGTATAGAAAATAAATAAGAGTATTTTTATATTTTAATCATATTATTTAATATTTTTTATTTTGATTAATTCTTTAGAAAGGCATATATAAAAAAAATGGAGGAAGTATGATACTAACCGAGAAAAGGAGAGAGACTAGACGGAAATTGATGATGTATACCCGAATTGTGTTTTTCTTTGTCTGTGTCGGAACACGTGTTAAGCGATAAAAGACGAAGAAGAAGATGGTATTGGCAAGTGGTTTATTAAAACCAATTGAGAGAGACGAAATTTCACTGTTTTGAATCGATTTTTTTTTTTGTTTCTTCGAGGTTTGGTGGAATGGTTCGGGCTTAGGTTCGGATATTGAAACGTGATCGGCTCTAACTCTCCTTGGTTAATCTAATTAAAAAAAAAAAGTTTCGGACTACTAAAAATCAATTAGGAGGAGTATTATTGTTTTATTATTATATATGTAATAAGCAGACTTCAAAGAGATGAAGATGATGATAGCAGACTTTACGCGTTAAGTTATTTTTAGATTATTGTTTCCTTTGACGTTTAGTGATTTAGTATAATAATAATAATTGGGGAAGAACTGTTGACTACAATTGGCTTTTATTTTTTTATTTTTTTATTTGTTTGAATTGAATACAATTGGTTGCCAATATGAGTGAAACAAAACAAAACCGGTGGCCACTCTCCTCATGGACAATATTACACGATAATTCAAATTATTGTGTCCTAAATATATTGTGTGGTCTAGTAGAGACCGTATTCAGTGCACCCAAGTGCACCGTACACCCCTGACCAAACACACGCGCATTACGCGCATAATTGCTTTTACATTTACACTGAATGCACACAAAAAATTATTTTCATCCATTTCATCCCCACGTACAAACACACACAAACACACAGTCGTCGGAAACTCTCCATCTTAGGGCAAATACAAAATTGACAACCACCACAAAATTACAGAAAGTCAACGGAAAACCTCCGCTGGAAGACGATTTTGATAACTTTATCTTCTCTCTGCGTTTTTTCATTTTGTCAGTCTGTTTTTTTCACAAACACACATACACATACACATACAGACGACGGCGAGAAACCCTACCTCCGGCCATCTCAAGCTCTCCTTCATCTATACATGCTTCACTGGTAAGTATATTACTCCGGGATCCTATTTTTTTGATTATCCAGCAATATTTTGTGTTTATCCACTAGATCTGAACTAGTTATCCATGGTTTCCTGCGTATGCTATGTGATAGTTGTCCATGCCATAATTGCTGGTTATCCACCTATTTCATACTGGTTATCCAGAATTTATATACTGGTTATCCACAAGTTGTAAACTGGTTATCCATGCTTTTTTTACATTTGATTCTATGTGGCATGGACAAACTGAACTGGTTATCCATGTTTTTGTGTTTTTTTGTTGCTGGTTATCCACTATATATCTAAACTGGTTATCCAAGTTTTCCTGCGTGTGTGCTATGGGGTGCTTGTCCAAACTTTGTTTCTGGTTATCCACCTATTTTATACTGATTATCCGCAGGGTGTAAACTGGTTATCCATTGTTTTTTTAGATGTGCTTTTATGTGGCTACATGTTCATACGTTATTTGCTGGTTATCCACCCATTTCATACTGGTTATCCACAAGTTGTAAACTGGTTATCCACAAGTTGTAAACTAATTATCCACAAGTTGTAAACTGGTTATCCATGCTTTTTTTTTACATTTGATTCTATGTGGCATGGACAAATTGAACTGGTTATCAACTATATATCTGAACTGGTTATCCAAGTTTTCCTGCGTGTGTGCTATGGGGTGTTTGTCCAAACTTTGTTTCTGGTTATCCACCCATTTTATACTGGTTATCCGCAGGGTGTAAACTGGTTATCTATTGTTTTTCTAGATGTGCTTTTATGTGGCTACATGTCCATACATTATTTGCTGGTTATCCACCCATTTCATACTGGTTATTCCTTTTTTTATTACTGCTCCTTTTCATATCCTGCTATTTTGTCCACTGACTTCTTAGTGATTGTCCAATGCCAACAGTGCCCTAAAGGAGGCTAGAACAAAATATAGGCACGAGTGGATCAGCGCAAGTCACGACCTTAACCGCAACCCAGACAGATCACCGGATCCTGAAGCAGAGATAATAGAGCTCCCTGAAGGAACGCTGACCATATTTAAAAAACAAAAATCAACCCAAGAAGAACAGTCCCCTGGTCAAAGTCCAAGGCCCCACAACTTGTGGAGGAAACCAAAGAGAAAGAAGAGCACGCCGACAGGAAATCCAAAGCAACTTGTGGTTGCTGATGACAATGACTCGGCTGATGATAAGAAGCCCAAAAAGAAAAGAACGAAACCTGAGAACAAACTGATCATTGGTCAAGATCCACAGCCAATCAGTTCTGAAGATTCTGTCAAGAAATTTGAGACCAGGATGACACCAAACCATCTCTTCCAACTCATCACTGAAATCAATAAACCAACAGATCTTGCAAAAGAGCCAGATGCGGTAGATTATCGCCAACTATAAAGGCAGGCTATCAGAGATATGGGATTTGGCGCCTTGCTGGATCTTAAAATCAAAAATATTCCAACAGCCTTATGTAGTTTTCTGGCAAACAATTTCCAGACCGGTGCGAGACAAGTCCCATTGAATGGCAACAATGTACTGGATATCAAACAGGAAGATGTTGTTGTTGTACTTGATCTTCCTCGTGGACCCAAACCAGTGGAAGAATTCAAACAGAAAGATCCCGCTATAACGGATCACGCTGAGATGGTGGATGCATTCAAGAAAAGAATGGGATACAGTAATAAATTCCTGGCAACGAGATCCACGGCGGCACAATTAATTGCTGGTCAAAAAGATTTTGGTAATGACTTCAAATGAGATTTCCTAGTCTTCGTTGTGAGCACATTCCTACCTGGAAACACAACCTCCAGGATCACAATGAACATCCTGAAGTCCCTTTTGAACATGAATGAGGTGACAGAATTCAATTGGTGTCAATATGTGATTGATGCACTGGTCAAAGGATGCAAAAGTCACCACAATGGGAAACCATTCACGAGACCGATCACTTTTTTTTCTGGTACTTACCATATCCGTAAAAATTTTACTAGTTATCCATATTACTTGCAATGCTTATCCAATTTGCTTGTATTGATATCATTAACACCAACTTTTTTTCTTTTTTTTTTTGTTAGTTGTGCTACCTTGACAGGTGAGTATGAGAGAGCACATCCGAGGTCATTCTCTGTGATCAAATGTAGGGATCAAAAGATGCTGGGCGACAGATTAAGACTTCAGGGAAGTAATTTCACAGATGTCCAGACACTTGAACGTCTCAAGAAACCGTCCTCAGCAGCATCCCGAGATGAACACCCAGAGGGGGAATCACAGAAGGAGGATACACAGGCCAACCCCAACACACAACAAGTCTATGTAGTGTCTACCATTTTTTTTTTCAGATTACACCTACGTATCCAACCTAGCATCTCTACATTCCACTAACTACATTCACTTTTGCAGGACCTTGCTGCTCTTTATGAAAAATTCTACTAATTGATTATCACGATGAGAAAAACTATTTTTTAGACATACGTGAGAAGGAAATGGAGTTAAAAATCGAACCAGATGAACAAGCAAAGCAAACAATCAAGATCCTAACAGATGCAATGGTGTCGATGAGTAGTAAGATGCCTCCGCCTCCAGGTACAACGCAACACCAACAAGAGCAGCAGCAAGACCAGTAAGACCTCCAGGATGCACAGATTTGTGAATTGTGCGAGATGGCATGGAAGGCCGCTGAAAGCAGGTTTGCAACAATAATAGAACAGCTGCAACGACAAGTAGCTGACCAACAACAACAACAACACCAACAAACTTGTGACAACACTGTACAAGCTCCAATTGATCCCACAAATTTTCAAGACATTGAAATTGACAAAACACAGGGACTGGAGCAATTGAGCCAGACAAATGATGAGGATTCTCTTCCAGTGGGGAAATCCGTGCCTACTTCAAAAGAAGTGGTGGTTGATGAACAACAAACTCAACCACAAGGTAATGAATATTTTTTTAATGAAACAAATACTTGTCTGATGTGATTGTACTTGTCATCCAACTAATTTGTGTTGCTTATCCAACCCCTTTTTTCCTTTAAATGGTTATCCATTGTGTTCCTGCCGATTATCCAGCCTGTTTGAACTGATTATCCACTTCGTTTGAACTGGTTATCCAATGTGTCTAATATATATGTATGTTCGTACTGATTCTCCAACATTCCAACTTTGTACTGCAGCACATGGAACGAATATCTCCACAACAGAAAAGAAGAGATCCCATCAAGATTCCACTGGCCGGGATTCGGGTGTGACATCCACCTTACCAGAAGGTCGAGAAGCACTGGTACCAGGAAAAGGAAAGTATTCAAAGACCCAACTATCCCATACTTTAACCTGGGTATCTTCTCCAGTCAGGAAGAAAGTTACGAGACAACCCAGGAGAAGAACACTGAGGAAGATATCACAGGAAGTGTTGATTTGGATAAAGATGTCAATGAGACTATAGAAGCAGAGGAATATCCAGTACCATCTGCACTCGATGAAACAAAGAATCCCACTCCTTCCATCGATGAAATCATAAGAATGGCCAGTTCACCAGCTTCAAAATCATTAAGTGATACCAAAAAACTAGAGATGATTGCCGCTGCTGCAGAAGAAGTTGAGAAGAACTCAAAGGTGGTTGAAGCAGTCCCTTTAAGCATAATTCCACCCGATTGGAATATTTCTTCTACCACGGGTGGTCTAGTGATGCTGGAGAAAAATGAGTGTACCACGCCACCGCCTGCAATCTCAAAGGAAGCTGATGAGCTTGATGAAGAGTTAACAAAGACAGTGGAAAAGTAAGTTTGACCCACTGTGACTCCCCACTACAAAATAAAAAGATGAATTTACATACTAACTCTTTTTTGTTTTGTCCTAGGATCCTCAATGAAAAATCTAAGAGGAGAAATCCACCAAGAGTCCACCGGTTGCCCGAACGGTTTAGGTCGCCGTTCATGCTGCAGAAGAAAAACAAGAAAAAATTCATACAGTGGACAGAGGAGAAGAAGAAAATGACCCAAGAAGAAGCCCTGTTGATAGACTTCGCTCTCCTACAAAGACAAGAAGAAATAGTTAAATCAGGGTAAAAGTCACCATCCTTACCCGTGGGATAAAAAACTTACCAGTTTTCCAACTATTTGTCTATTTGACTACTTTTTCTATGCAGGAAACTATTGTTTGAATTTCAAAAAAATTGTTTGGGCAGACAGGACAACTTTCTATTCCATGAGGGAAGGGACATGGATAGAAAACAGCATCATAAATGCTTGGGCTGTCATCCTAAATAAAGAAGAAACTAAGAGTGACTCCCCAAGACGGATATTCTTTGGTGTTTCGTCATTTGTAAGTCAACTAAACCCTTATTGTTTATCCCGCCCTGGTAAAATACTTTTCACATGTCTGCAAGTTGTTTATCCATATGTTTGTACTTACTATTCAATTTGTTACTAATGCTTGTCCACCAGAGTTGAACTGGTTATGCCTTCTATGTGGTGGCTTGTCCATGATTCATTTGCTGGTTATCTATCTGTTCTGTATTACTTATTCACAAGATCTGAACTGGTTAACCATTCCTTCTTGATGTCATCTAGGGTACTTTTGGTTGACCTTGTACAGCTTGATTCCGATCATTGTTTCCTACTGCATTTTCCAACCATTGTACTGATCATTGTATCATTTTTCAACTATCTCAAACAATAACGCAGGATACAATCAGTCGATACTATCAACAGGGCAGTAACAAAGAGAAAATAGAGTTCACATTCTATGAGAGGTTGGGTCTTGAACTAGAAGAACAAGGCCTTACTGTAGCATCCCTATTAGCGGCAAAAGCTGTAAGCAACATCTTTCACCTCCTTCACTCTTTCTATAACTGGCTGTTAAAAAATTTACATATGATTTCCCCCTTCAATGTGAAATATCAGATCTACTTCTCAGTACACTACCAAGACCATTACTTCTAGTATGTGTTGCTGGTTGAAGAAAAGAAAGTGCTTGTCCTCAACAATATCCATGCAAAAGATCTGGACTACTACAAGCCAACGAAAGATCTTCTTGTGAGTGAAAAAAAGATACAATATGATTGTCATAGTTTAAGAATTATCCATTGCATTTTGCTGATCCTTGGATTTTATGGCATCACAGTTTCGGTTCTTCAAAAGCTATGTTGCATGCGTGTTTCCACGCATAGAACTGGTCAGTGCTCAATACACCTTCACAGAGGTTACGCTACCATCGCATAAGGACAAAACGCCGAATGCGGAAGATTGTGGAATATACACAATGCACCACATGGAGCGGTATGATAGTGGTGAGTACGAGGATGGTACTACTTTGGATTTCAACACAGGAAACATCAAAGAGTACCGGTGGAAATACATGACAAAAATTCTTATGCACCCAGCCAACAAAAATAAGGACAAAATCTTCGAAACAATGCACCAGTTCTATACAAATACTGCTGAAGAAGAACAAAAAGAAATTCCAGATCATGTTGATTTGAGCAGCAAATCTTACTACAATGACAGAAAAATTCAGGGATGGGTTAAATGAACTGTCATTATGCTCTCTTATATAATTGATTGACTGTTGATCCTAAAGTGTTTGATATCCAACAGCTGTGTACTGGCTATCCTAGTATATTATCCAACCGTTTGTAATGGTTATCCAGGATCTTTGTACTAGTTATCCAACTTCTTACACCTGATTATCTGAATATTTTATAGTGATTATCTAGTCAAAAAAATACAAGTACAGTCTTTAACCTGATTATCCAAAAAGACATAACAAAAGAAAATATCCATAAGAAAATAACAAGACAATGTATTTTGGTTATCCAAATATTTCTGTAAATTCCCAAACAACAAAAACTGAGTGTCCCAATTTGTTGGTCTTTCTACTTCTTTATTAAACTGCATATCCTATGATGTTATACTGCTTATCCAATATTTCTTTGCTGATTATCCAATGCTCTGTACTGATTATCCAGGACTTTTGTACTGGTTATCCAGCCAATGTGCAGCAAATATCCAACCGTTTGTAATGATTATCCAGGATCTTTGTATTAGTTATCCAACTTGTTACACCTGATTATCCGAATGTTTTATAGTGATTATCCAGTCAAAAAAATGCAAGTACATTCTTTAACCTGATTATCTATGAGTTTATACTTATTACCCAAAACCTCAAAACTGCTTATCCATATGTAACCAATGCCTATCCACCATGTGGATATAACAAAACAAGGATTTAGACAGGGCTTCCAAAAAGACATAACAAAAGAAAATATCCATAAGAAAATGGTTATCCAAACGGCATGTTCATTGGGGGGCTTCGTCCCCATGATAAACTAAATGACTCCCGCGGCTACCGGAATCGCAGGTTACCAACCTGCCCCAGCTGCGCGGCCCCGCCGAACACGTCAATGTAGCTAAGGTAATCATTTTTTCGTGTGTGTGTAAGGAGAGTGTGTGGGTAAGGAGAGTGTGTTATTGCGTTAAGAGGGGACACAAATTACTTGTATAAATCCCCCCGTGATAAACTAAACGACCCGGCTGTGCCGGTGCCCGCGGCTGCGCCGCCTTTCACGGCTGTGCCGCCTCCATGGCCGAACATGGTAAATTTCATAAATAGTATTTAATTGAATGAGGGGCAGTTTGCCAAATGATGGAGAACAAAAAATGAATGAGGGGCAGCTGGATAACCAGTGTAAAAAATACGGACAAGGATATCCAAGAAAAATATAAAAGGAAAAAAATAATAATCCACGTTGTCAACACTGATTATCCAACAGGTTAATAATGGTTGTCCAATGTGTTAGTACTGATTATCCAAACGGTTTGTAATGCTTATTGAATTTTTACTTTGTTTTTATTCTTTATGAAAAATGCTTGTCCATAGTGTCAACACTGGTTATCCAGCTGTGTGTAACTGGTTATCCATAGTGTGCACACTGGCTATCCACATTATCAATACTGATTATCCAACAGGTTAATAATGGTTATCCAGTCATTTTCTAATGACATTCAAACTTGTTTGCACTGGTTATCCAAAATGGTTATCAGAATTTGCCCAATGTGTCAGTACTGATTATCCAAACGGTTTGTAATGCTTATTGAATTTTTACTTTGTTTTTATTCTTTATGAAAAATACTTGTCCATAGTGTCAAAACTGGTTATCCAGCTGTGTTTAACTGGTTATCCATAGTGGGAACACTGGTTATCCACTATGTCCATACTGGTTATCCACAGTGTGGAGCATGTTACTGTGTATAACTGAAAAGCCACACGTTTTGTAATTAAATAGAATTTAAAAGATTGAGGGAGTAAAAATAAAAAAAGAAAACTGAAAAGGCTCATGTTTGTGCAGAGTACATCATGATCTAATGGGTAGTTACAGAGTCACACGTTTTTACATGAAATGGATTGAATAAGGATCAGTTATATAACTGTCATTAAATGAGTTTCTTGATTATCACAATGACAGTTAATGAATAGAGAGTGAGAAGACACTGATTTGTGAAAAAAGATAGGACTGCATGGCTAGTTAATCCGTCAAACTACCTCTGTATAAACTCCCTCATCTCCATATACAACATTTCTATAAAACTCCCTGACATCTCCACATACAACATTTCTATAAAACTCCCTCATCTGCACATACACCAGAACGCCTGATTTGAGCATCCAAAACATCCAATAACCAGAAAAAATGAAAAACAAAAAAATTTCCTCAAATTCCACAACCAAACAAATGTCCCCCAGGCAAGCAAAGCAAGAAAAGAACAACTACCCTGAATATATCCATCACGATATGCTTGATAATATGTTCATTAATTTGACATTGGAAAAGATTGGTGAGTTCCGTCGTGTCAGCAAAGCTTGGGAGCAAATGACGAAAAGATAAGAGTTTGTTCTTCAAAAACGTGAGATGAGCTACCCTGCAACTGAAAACAACATCCTTGTTTTCACTCAAACAAGCCAAGAAGGTCACCTGTTGCAAGACAAACTAATCGCCCTCCAACATAAAAGTGCAAATGGATAACCCATGGAACCACATACGATTGCAAGAAGAGATGTCGATGGGTGACGACGGCATCCATAAAATCATGCCTATCACCACAGATTTGGTCTATCTGCAAACCAGGTCTAAAATCAAATTCCTGAACCCAAAGACAACACAACTTGCATCAATTGAATGGCCATATGATGTCCCTCTCAGCAATGGGGAAACAACATTTGGGTACGTATCATCCTCAAAAAATTACGTTTTCATGGCCCTTATTGCCGATGGAAAAAACATGCAAGGCTGCATTTTTTCTTTTAAAGTTGTTCAAGTATTCATAGAGGGGCATGGAAAACACTTTGCAATGTATATCCTCGCCTTGTATCTGATGGAACCTGGTTTGATAGATTCGTGTACTGGCGTGTAGACAAACTATCCTCTGAAATAGCAACACCTCAAGAGTTGCTTGTCGTGTTTGACTACCACACTCAACAATTCCAAACCATAAACTGCCCTCCATCTCCAATCTTCTTTAACCCCACTGATCCTTATCATTTGAATCTCCAAGTGAAAATATTGGACTTCTAGGGGACTTTGTGTGTAATAGATGAGTACCACATTACTCAGAATCATCACTGTCAGATATGGGCATGGGATCCAGATACTTCCACATGGGATTGCATGTTTGAGACCCATGAATTCCCAAATGTGAACACACACGTTCCACACGGATTACAATTCCGTCATGATTGGCTTTATCCAGTGTTTCTAAGCCACAAATCATCTCCAGCGGGATAGTTCATTGTCAAAGGATTCGATAATCGACATTTGCTGTTGTATAATGTTTCTACCAGGAAAATCACACACTCAAGTACATCGCCGGATCTAGAAACCAGTTTCATCATTACAGCATGTTACTTCTAGGAGACATTAACACACTTTTAGGATTTTTTTTTCTTTTAAAAAATTTATCTTTCCCTTGTTAACTTATTACTGAAAACAATTGTCCATTGATCTTATACTGGTTATCCCAGGACTTTGTACTAATTATCCAGATTATCTATGCTGGTTATCTAATGATATTATTTGTGAAGAAAGCGTGTTCAACGTGTTCATGTCTTTTTTGTAATATCTATATGCATTTAAAGTTGCATATCCGGTACAGGCGAGTTGGATATCCAGTATAGACGAGTTGGATATCCAGTACAAACGAAATGGATATTCAGTACAAACGAAATGGATATCCAGTACAAACAAGTTCGATAGGCATACAAACCAAATGGGTGGATATCCAGTACAAACAACTTGGATAACCAGTTCAAACTGGTTGGATAATCACCATGAACACAACGGATAACTAATTTAAAATAACCACTTGGATAACCAGTACAAACAAAATGGATAACCAGTTCAAACTGGTTGGATAATACTGTAATTTAAAATAAATAATACTTTTTAAATAAAAATCTTTACACCATCAATACTGTTCATTTCAACATCAAGTAAAAATACTAATAAAACATCTTGTTGAAGAAACGCTACACTCCAGCCTCCCTGGTAGCTTCCCTTCGGTTAGGAAATGAGAACCCACTAAAGTTTTGATTCATGAATGTCATGTTTTGATGAGAAGCATTCACAGCAGCGGAAGTGCTTGCGCCTTGAAACTCCTGGCCAGCTCCCTTGGGAATTGGAAATGAGAATCCACCGGAATTTTGGTTGATGAATGGCATGCTTTGATCAGAAGCATTCACAGAAGTGGAAGCCCCTGCCCCTGAAAAATCCTGGGCAGCTACACTTGGATTAGTAAATGAGAATCCACCAGAATTTACGTTCAAAGATGGCATGCTCTGATGGGAAGCATTCACAGCAGCAAAACTTCCTGAGCCTGAAAAATCTTGAGCAGCTCCCTTTGGATAAGGAAATGGCATGCTTTGATAATGCAGGTCTGATGCAACTGAAGCTCTTGTTCGGTCAGCAGCAATTCTTGCATTTGTTTTCCTGCCTCTGACTTTGTTACATGCCTTCTCAACAATGCTTTTAGGACGTTCGTTCCTGGGACCAAACTTCTTCCTCTTTACAAATGGATTCTTTATAACACCATCATTGTCTACGAGACTCATCATTATTATTCGAACCAATGAAACGCCGAGTTCTTCTTGAAGCCCACAACCGCCTCATCACAACATTTCTTTGCATCTTTGTTATATTCACTTGCATACACCAAGTCTGAAAATCGTCTCATAATTAGCGCCTTCCATAGCAATGGCCCAGCAGCTTTTCCATCTCCCTCATTAGCTATGCTTGACCTGGCACCATAACCTTTTGTCCATCTCATACATATATAATCTTTAGGAAACTCATCAACGGAGGTTACATGACAGAGTCGAAGACCGCCTCAGAGTAGTACCTGCACGTGCATGAGAATCTCTGTAACCTAGTGTCATGTACAACCACATGCTTAAAGCGCTCTATCCCAAACCGCCAAACATTGTACGTCACAATATTACCATCATTTGAGACCTCTAACTGCTCCTGCCTGCACAACATCCCATCTTTGTGCAACTGCTGAACCTCCCGAAATGGTTCAACTGTGTACACTCTGCGAATGCTCTCCAGGAAAGGGTCACCAGGAAGATATGAATCGATGTTTCCCTGGCTACAGCGTAGATCTTCACCCCTCACAGCTACCCGCCAACAGTGTACAACATCAGAGAAAATTTCATGGAAATCACGAAGTGATGATGTGGCATTCATTTTATGACAAATTGCATTATTTGTTGACTCGCTTCTCTGTGAAGACAAGGTACCACCAGAAAAAACATCTTTGCTAAATGCAGGGCACCACATATGCCTCACATCATAAATACCATTGAGCCATTTGTCATGATGACAATCATACTCATCCAATAATCTGTGCACAACAATATAAAACACATGCATAAAAAGAAAAATAGTTAGATTATCCATATAGATCCACAAAGAAATATGTATATCCTTAGGCTTTCTACTGCTTATCCAGTAATCATTTACAGATTATCCAAAACATGGTACTGTCTATCCATCAGTAACCCCTTTAAACCCTTGCAATAATTTCCTAATACTTATACAAAGGCTTTCTACTAGTTATCCAGCCATAACGGGTGGGTTATCCAGAATGTGTAAACTAGTTATCCAGAGATAATTGTTGGTTATCCACAATGTGTAAACTAGTTACCCAGCCATAACGGGTGGTTATCCAGAATGTGTAAACTAGTTATCCAGACATAATTGCTGGTTATCCAGAATGTGTAAACTAGTTATCCAGCCATAACAGGTGGTTATCCACAATCTGTAAACTAGTTATCCAGCCATATTTGCTGGTTATCCACAATGTGTAAACTAGTTATCCATGCCTTTTTTTAGTTGTGCTTCTATGCGGCTGCTTGTTCATATATTATTTGCTGGTTATCCATCATTGTTGTATAACTTACCTACCTATAAGTAATCATCAGGAAGATCATGCATGACCACTAACACATACCCACACACAAAAAAAGAAACACTCTTAATCATGGCAATGATCAAAATAATAATAAAAATATTGACAAACTGACCTCCTCCATAATACCTCGAACTCGATTTCTGTTGAAGTGTATTTCATCAGATAATTAAAGTTCTTAACAAAATCTGGCTTGTTCCTTAAATAACCAATTCGCTTTCTTGAATTTTCACCTATGTGCCATACACAGAAACGATGCCGAGAACTTGGAAAACATGTCTGAATACTTACAGCAATGGAAGGTGCTTGATCTGTCATTACGGTTTGTGGCTGCTTATCTCCCATTGTTTCAAAAACTGCTTGAACAACCAATCAAAAGAGGGTTCTTTCTCGTTTAACACAAAACCACAACCAAACATGACATTCTTGTTATTATTATCCATACCCACAAACGGAGCACAGATCATTCCATATCTGTTTGTTCGATACGTTGTATCAAACACAAGCAAGTCACGAAACAAATCATAATCCTTTCGCATTCTGCCATCCCTCCAGAAGAAAGTACACAGCCTACCCTGCTCATCACAGTCAAAATCAAAGAAGAAATCTTCTTCAGTTTCCTTCCTGTCCCAAAAAATCTTCATCAGCTGATTACAATCGCCACCTTCAAATGCAACACCAGGACGCTCATAATTGTAGGCATCTCTCAAAGTATACTTCATGTTCGGACTTCCCCCGTGTAATTTTGCCACAAACTTATATGCATCAACCAAAGGGGCCACTCCTTGTCATGTCTCTGATTATCTTCATATCATTTTCATCTACTTCACGTTGAGATTGAAGAAGTCCAATTATTTCATTTAGCACAAGATCATGATTGTGATCAACCAGATGCTTTGTACAGGTCCACAAGCCATCTTTGTCAACAGTAAAATGGATATAAGCTGGACACCCACACCGAAAATTAATCCTCTCATGGCACACATCACCATTTCCACTGGATCTCTTGTATCCTTCGCGGTTACAACAGAACTTCTTCATCCTAACTTTATCAGTCTTACCTCTAAACTTCTGTTTTCCCACTCTCACACTAAAACCAATCAATCGGGCATGATCATTATATAAATCATAAGCGTCTTTCTCACTTCTTGCAGTCTTGCCAACTAAAGTAAAAATAGCCAAATCATTATTCTTCGTCACAGATGAAATTTCCTTGTGCAAGGCATCCTCCTCCACCATCACATTATCAACTCCCAATTCATTGCCGCTATTATCTTCTCCACATTCTGAGAAAAACAAAAGAGATGGTTGGATAACCATTACCATGCAGTCGGATAATCAGTATTAACCCAATGGATAAACAAATCAAAAAAAATTTAAACACATATAAACAAGTTAGAAAACCTACCCTTCAGAGCAGATGTAACTTCCATGCGCAAAGCATCATCCAGCATCACATCATCCCCCAACTCATTGATATGGTTATCTTTTACAAAAAATGAGACAAACAAAAAGACAAAAATTTTTTTAAAAAAATCTTTGATACACCAAATCAATATAAACAACTCAAAAATGTTGGATATCCAGCAAATAAAATTTGGATACGCATGTAAATCCGTTGGATAACCAGTACACATAAGCTGGATATCCAGTACAAACAAGTTGAATATCCAGTACAAACATGTTGGATATCCAACATAGTATAACTGCTTATGTAGTTCATACAACATTAACAAAAACAGAACTGTGAAAAAACTAGATTGATTATTCTCTCACAAACAGTACACTCCGAACTGTGAAAAAACACCAATTCAATATAAACAACTCAAAAATGTTGGATATCCAGTACAAATCAGTTAGATATCCAGCAAATAAAATTTGGATACGCATGTAAATCTGTTGAATAACCAGTACACATAAGCTGGATATCCAGTACAAACATGTTGGATATCCAACACAGTATAACTGCTTATCCACTTCATACAACATTAATAAAAACAGAACTGTGAAAAAACTAGATTGATTATTCTCTCACAAACAGTACACTCCGAAACCTACACAAACCTGATTGCAACTGATCTACAACAGAACTGTGACCTCGCGTTGATTT